TTTTTTTCTTTCTTTCTTTCTTTCTCTCTTTTCGTTGTCATAATATTTTTGTTCTATCTTTGTATGAACAATTATGAAATACAAATAATTATCAATGCCTCTCAAAACCACTGACAGTTTTTAATGTCTAGTCTGCTAATATAGCTGCTGTTTGCACTGGCTTTTATAAAAATCAGTAGCGTAGCGAGGGGGGGGCACGGGGGGGCACGTGCCCCCCACCCCCAAATTTTTTGAAAAAAATTTTTTGAAAAAAGAATAACAAAAGAAAAACAACATATTAAACCAAAACGAAAGAGGAAAATAAATTATTACAACCTAAGATTTAAGAATGGGTAATAAAATAATGTTTGTTTCTTAAATTTTTGTTTGAGCGTTTATTTGTTTTATTGGGGAGGAGCCCCCCCAGCTCCTAGGTCCTCGCTACGCCCCTGATAAAAATAGACACAATAAAATACATTAAGAAATAGCAACTGTGTGTTGATACCTAGTAGTACAATATTGAATGCGCGTTCAATTAGGGGCTCGGCAATCGAATCAAGTGTACAAAGGGATATATTTATAGAAAGAAAGTCATTAAAGCTAAAGTGTATATCAAGGGAAAAGAATATATATATATATATATACACTTTATCTAATGTTTCAGTATTTACTTTCACCAATTTATCATCATGCTGAATTAAGTGATGGGACTGAATTTAACTTGCGCATTGAATTCTTGTAGTGCATTTTACGTCAAAGCCGCCATTTTGGCTGACGCAACAAACGCCTTTCCTCATTAACATATCATCATATAGATTAATCAACATGGCGGTTGCTTCATTGTTATTTATATCTCAAGGGAGTTTTAGTCATGTGGTTGCACCCCAAGAATATGCCTTTCATAGGATACAGTCTAATGCACAATGTAATATCCAATGTCTCTGTTTGAATACGTGGCATCGTGTACTGTGTATCGTGATTATCTTACACTTGCAGTGCACGACCTATATGACATATATTCGTTAAAAAATAGACATACTGTTTAATATAACTGCAGCTATACAAACTGGCCATCAATACCATTAACCTCTCATGCAACCTCTGGGCTGATCTAAGTCAGGGCATGGCTAACTCACAGATC